ATATATATATATATATACACACACATATATATATATGATCATAAAAATGGTTTGATAACTTGTAAACCATTGTTACTTTTTATTTGCCATATATCAGTGGTGGTGAACCTTTTATTTATTTTTTTCATTGAGTTTATTGGTGATTTTGTGACCCCCCCCACTTTGGTACTGGGGATCAAACTCAGGACATTGCACTTGTGAGGCAGACTGCAGCACCACTCGGCCTATCAATTAACAAAAACCAGTGAACTAGAGACTGTCATTATTTAGAAGTGAAGAAGAGCTGGTAATGGTCTAACGTTATACAGGTAAGAAATCTTGAAGACAAGCCTCCAACCATGGAGTGACTCAAGAACCCTGTAATCCACGTGGCCAACCTCCACACTATTCTGCCTGCTTCAGAGAGTCTGTTGAGGAAGAAGTGGTCACGGTAGTGAATTTGTTTTGGTTGTTTTTGGCAGAGTATTCAGCAAAAAGTGTAAGTAGATGTCTTCATGAAATATCTTTAAGGGTCTCCATTTGTCAATATACTGTAGAAAAGCAAGAAGTTCAAAAAGAGTCAAGTGCTTTGTAAATAAGAAGCAAAAAGGAGTTAAAACATTTGAAAATTAAGTATTGTACAAGACAGTTTCTTCACCCTCAACTAGTTAAAGGAAACACTGAGAAAAACTGTGACCTATAAAAGTAAATAAAAATCCATTCTTTTGTTTAGAATCAGATTGGGAGCATGATCAATATAATTGGTATAAAGAAGCCTCACAGTATTCTGACTAAGTAAATCTTCCATTGAAGCAAATTTTTTAATGAAATGAGAACAAAGGTGTAATTATTCTATAATTCCAGATAAATAAAAAGTACTTTCAATTAATCTCAAAGAAGGGTAAAATGATCATTTAAAATTGGCATTTGAAGGGCCAGGGATTTAGCTCAGCGGTTCAGTGGCCTGCCTCGCCAGTGCAAGGACCCGAGTTCAATCCCTGGTACCAAAATAAATAAATAAATAAAATAGAATTGACATTTGAGGATAGGGTGGATCCCTTCCTGCATTTGAAGACAGGCATTCTGACCAAAATGTATTCTTGTGAAGTTGCAAAAGCAACGTACATAATGTGAATTATGTACACTACATAAAATTAATAGAAATTGTATTATATATATACAAAACTATTTGGCAAAATAAAATGATAGTTACTAAACTCTAGACAAAATAAATTATTTGTCTAAAAATTGGCATTCCATCAAAATGTTCACCAACTGTGAGAAGAAACTAAACATATTTTTGGATATACATACACAGTAGGCTTACCTCTCACAATGCTCCTTAACGAAAATGTGGAATAGGAATACATTCAGACAGAGCAACAACAAAAATCAGGAAAGAAGAGAGCCGGGCTCAAACAGCAGAACACATTTCAGAGTTTAAAGAACAAAACCCTGTGATGTAAGCTTTGTACCTCTCCTAGAAAGTGATTTTTTCCTTTTTCTTTGTTGATCTTTTCAGTTTATTGGTACTTTTAATGTATACAGTAAGGTTACATTCATCACTGAGATCTTAAATGATATGACTTTGTTCTCATTTTTTCCCCATACCCCTGCCCTCCCTTTACCCCTTCCACCTTCCCCTATTTACAAAGACTTTGTTTCTATTTTGTCTTTTTCCCATATTTTTTCTTGTCCTTTATTTCCTTTCCCCTCTACTTCCCTCTTCTCCTGCACTCTTAGCCTTTTTCTTCCTATTCACCTTATCAGTTATACAATTTGGATCTTATTTACACTTTTAGTTTTTCACACCAGAGAAACTATTTGGTATTTATAAAAGTGATTTTTTCAGATTGAATAAAAGTTCACAGATTATAGGAAGAGTTTTTCTGTAAATCAATGAATTTTTTGA